GAAATAACAAGCTGAAAATTTTGTGCGTTATATTGAAGCTGAACAACTATGTAATAATTATCTAAGCACAAAGGATAAAATTTATCTCCCAATTAATTTGCATTACCCAAATAATTCATACAAAAGGTACTCCATTGGACCATGTCTACTGTGTTGCCATAGGATACAAAAATTTTAATAATTAAGTGGAAGAACAAAAAGTAACATATGCAAGCTTTCAAATAGCTTTCCGAATAGTCCTCTAACAGTGAGTAAAATTTCAAACTCTTTGTATTCTTGTGCACTTTGTGGGAGGCTACCATGATGAGACTCTTACAAATATTGAAAAACAAAAATGATAAGAAGGTAGAAATAATTAAATCTATGTCATTAATTTTTAACATTATCAACCATTTTCTTAGGATAAAATAATTACCTAAAGTAATCGAGTGTAAAACATATTGGGTAATCGATTTGTGTTCATCATTGAATAAACTGTAGAAGGCATTTATAATCTATAGTTCATCATTGAATGAACTTTAGAAGGCATTTATGTTCCAATGCCATTTGAGATTCCTATCAAATAAGAAAAAATGTGTTGGTTAAAGAAATAACAAGAATTTGACTTCTCCACATCGTCTTGAGAGAAAGAGGGCAAAAGGAGAGAGCTAGGGCATTGCTGGAGAGAGAGCAAAGGGAGCAATCTAGAGAGTTATGAAAGAAAGCAAAAAATAAAAAATAATAAAAATAAAAAAAAAATAAAAAAATAAAAAAATAAAGTTCTGAAAGCGTGAGTTCTGAACAGGTCAAACCCGAATAATTGGATAATACCCAACTTAATTCTAATAATGTTTTTGAACACTTGTCATAGAATAATTGGGCCAAGCATTGACCTTATTTTTATTATTACTTAAATATAATTCAAATGATATGAGGCATTTTGGGGTAAAATTTAAGAGCAAAATCGTGCTGACTCGGGTCCAAAACGAACAATATCATACCATGTGGTGAAGTATGTCATTACAGGGTTAATTAAATAATTATTTTTTTTATTCAGTCAAAAACCAAAAAATTAAAAATTAAAAAGAAAGAGGGGGAGATCAACCATATCTAGAAGGATTGTAGTGTAATTTGTAAATGAATAATCATTAACTTCTGAAGTTAAGGTTTATAAAATATTATTTTCTTTTAAATGATTGTATACTTAGTGATATTTCTTCTATTACTCAAAAAAGATGGTAAGAGTGTGTCAACCGCAAAAAATAAATAAATAAATAGTAAAAATAAAAAAAATACTCAACCTATATATATTCCAAGCTGCCTCCTGTGTTTCCATTTTGCCTTCTCAGCTATTGAAAATGTTGTATCTTGCAAAACTACTTCTACAAAATTTTCCATTCAATTTATTAAGTAATTATTTGTCACAAAATTAGGGGTGCAACTTGGGCAGCCCAACCCGAGCCCAACCTCAACCCGGATTCGGGTTTGGTTAGGTTGGCTCGAGGTAACTCGAATTCGGGTTTCAACCCATGAAGGCCAACCCAAAAATAGATCAGGTTACCTGGGTCAACCCAATTTGAACCCAGTTTATGAATTTAAAAGCCCAAGTTTCAAAAAATTGAGGTTGAGTTTGGGTTGAGCTAGGTTAGCCTGCCCAAGTTGCACCGCTACACAAAGTATATCACTTGTTTATTTCCATTTTGTCTACCCTCTACTCATTCCTGCTAGCCTGCTAGGATATCATCACCTTAATATATATATATATATATATATATATATATATATATATATATATATATATAATGTAGCCAAAATGAGCATGATAGAGAACGCTAAGGGTAACTAAAAGAGACATTGCGGTGCAACCATATTAATTCAAGGTATAATGATATTCAATGTTGACTCGATATGAATTAGAAGAGGAGGAGTACGTTGTTTTCCTTGAAAATAATAGACCAAGAGAGAGACTAAAACTTTGGGTTAATTTCACTAACACCTCTAGTAGTTTGGCCAAATATCAGTCTAAAATATCTTTCGAAAATAACTATCAATTAGGTCCAATTTCGCTTTTCCGTCACTGGCTCTGTTAAAAAACGTGGGAAAAGACATTTTGCCCCTAATTTTTTAATCACATGTAATACAAAATATCAAATAAGGTAAATGACTTTTATACCCCTCATTAAACTCTCACCTACCCACTCTCCCGCCAATACACAAAGACACTTTCTCTCTCCTCTATCTCTATCTGTATCAAACGTTCTCTCTCCTTAAGGACGCTTATCTATCTCTCTCTCTTCTCTACAGATCAAAACCACCCTCTCTCTTCTCTACAGATCAAAACCACTATCTCTTTTCTCTACAAATGCGACCAACAAATTAACAAAACCATAAAACCCTAGCTAGTTTCAGAGTCGTAGTTCTAGAGTCCAAAAGGCATACCATCAAACCCTAGTTCCAGAGCCATATACCTTTCATCCAACTGTGTACCGCCGATTAAGTCCATTTCAGGCCTTTTTCATGTACAATTGACCCATTTCAGAGTCGTTTGCACGCTAATCTCAGGTTTTGTTTTTTTTCCAAGAACCCTAATCTAATCGTTGCCAGGTTATTGTTTTGTTTTCTACATATTATTGTTTTCTGCATGTTATTGTTTTCTTTTTTGCATGTTATTATGCAATTAGGATCTTCTTTTTTTGTGGAATAAAAGGGTGTAATTAACCCTAATTCTAGCAAAACCCCCATAATTAATTAGGGTTAATTGATGGGGCTTTTGCTGGATGAACCTTAATTTAGGTTAATTATCTCTAAAATGACCCAAAATTAGGGTTTTAACCCTAATTTTGGGTCATTTATGGTTTATTAACCCTAATTTAGAGTTATTTATCGTTGGTATTTTATTATTTTGTTTTGTGCATGGCAAAATCGTTTTTCTTTTTTTCGTGGAATAAGGGTGTAATTAACCCTAATTCTAGCAAAACCCCCATAATTAATTAGGGTTAATTGATGGGGCTTTTGCTGGATTAACCCTAATTTAGGGCTATTTTAGTGTAAATTAACCTTTGGGTTTACTTTTAACATGTTTATTTTTGTTGGATTAAGGTTTATTGATTGTTAGCAATTACTTTTACCATCCTTTATTTTGACTGTTAGCAATTAGTTTTGTTTGTTAGCATGATTATTCTTTTTTTTTCTTTCTTTTTTTTTTTGGCAGATTCGAATGGCATCTGATACTTGATACTTTACATGATATCATTGTTCACTATGAGGGACATATATATGTGATAGGGAATATTAATTCTAAAAAGTATAGTTATTTGTCACTAAATACTCATGTTACCTACTTGCTACATGATGAAGTGTGTCATGAGAAAGGTTCTGTAGCATTTAACATTTATTTTCAAATTCCTGATTGTACTGATAGAATGTTGCTAGAACTGGATGAAGATGTAATTATCATGTTTGAGTTGATGAAGGGATGTAAGGATATAAATGTATTTGTTGAAGTTGCTCAGTATTGTTTAGCTTCATGTAGTAATGGTGCAGGCTCTAGTAATGCTTTTGAGGTGGGGAAAGATAACGATGTTGAGGAAGTCATTCCAAATGAAACAGTGATGTCAGATGAGGGGAATGATGAGGAGAGGAATGATCAGAGGAATGATCAAGGGAGTGATGGTGGTGAAGGAGATTCTTAATATAGTTTTTCTGACAGTGATGATGAGGAGTGGACTAGTGTTCATGAGGGAGGGAGAGTTAATAATTTGGGAGATGACAATTTGGATAATTTTGACTTGGAGAAGGAGACCTCAGAGCATAGTGATGGTGAGTTTTCTGATTATAGTGAGGATTATGATTTCAGTGGAGAAAGTGAAAGTGAGGAGGAAAGGGAGACATATGAGGGTTAAAGTGGAAAAAATAAAATTAGAAACAGAAAATATAGAAATATAACTATGAAGTATTTACACAGAGCTTTGAAGGGAAAGCCATTCAAATATGGTGAGGGGGTAAAATTGTATTTGAGAAGTACCATCTCTTTGATAATATCCACCACGTCAGAGATGTCTTGGTAGAATATTCTATCCAAAAAGGTTTTAAACTTATGAGGGAAAACAATGAAAGGAAAAGAATTACCTGTCACTGTGGGAATACAGGCTGCAATTGGGGAATTCATGCAATCCTATTGCCTGACAAAATGTCTTTTATAATAAAAAAAAAAAGTTGGCCCAGAACATTGCTACATCAGAACATTTAAGAACAAAGGTGTGACTTCTACATTTATAGCAAAAAAGCTTCTAGACAGGTTTAGAAAGAATCCTGACATTTCAGTAAAAGATTTGAAACAAGAAGTTGGAGAGAAATTTCTTACAGTTGCTATTGATATAAGTTGTTGGAGGGCTAAAAAGAAAGCAAAAAAGGAGATTGAGGGGAGTCATACTAAGTCATATGGAAAGTTATGGAAGTTTGCAGCTGAGGTGGTGAAAACAAATCTAGCTAGTTTAGTGTTCATAAGGAAAAATGCAGATGAGCCTCAAAGATTTAAGAGAATTTTTTAATCATTTGCTACATTTCAGAATGGGTTTGTTAATGGGTGCAGACCATTTATTGGTATTGATGGATGTTTCTTGAAGGGACCTTTTGGTGGTACTTTAGTTAGTGCTATAGGACTTGATGGAAATAATGGGTTGTATCCATTTGTTGTTGCCATTGTTGAATCTGAAGGAAAGGACAGTTGGAAATGGTTTTTAGATCACTTGCACAAGTTCCTTGGTGATACAGCTGGAGATATTCCTTGGACATTTATGTCAGATGGGCAAAAGGGAATTTTGGGAGCTATTTCTGATATTTTTCCATAGGCACTTACTAGGAGATGTTGCAGGCATATTTATGCCAATTTTAGGACAAAATATCCTGGTCTGAAGTATAAAAGTTTATTCTCAGCAGCTGTAAATGCATATAATGAATTAGAATTCAAATCTGCAATGGGGCAGCTGTAGGCAATCTGTGGTGGGGGCTGCAATTGGTTGATGGAATATCCTTTAGAGACATGGGCTAGACATAAATTTGATCCTAAGGTAAAGTGTGACTTTGTCGCCAACAATCATGTGGAGTCATTTAATTCTTGGCTTGGGAATATTAGACAAAAACCAATCACTGGAATTCTGGAAAGCATAGCAAAAAACCTGATGTCCAAGTTTGGTAAAAGATTTCAAAGGACAGTAGAGTGGACAAATACAATAGTGCTAAAAGCTAGGAACAAATTGAACTCTAACGTCTCTAAAGCTGCTACATGTGAACTGATTTGGCCTAGTGGGAATTTGTATCAAATTACACAAATGGATACACACATGTCTTATGTTGTGAACCTAGGTGAGAGGAGTTGCTACTGTGGGGAATGGCAAGTGTCTGGAGTGCCTTATAGGCATGCATGTGCAGCTATTACACACACGAGGCATGATTTTGAGAATTTTTGTTCAGATTTCTACAGCAAGAGTACATATGAAAAAACTTACAGTACTTTTATACACCTATTGCACCATGACACTATGTGGACTGAGGTTGACAATGCACCATTGGACCCACCAGTTCTCAAAAGACCAATAAGCAAACCTAGAGTGAAAAGAAAGAGGGAGGTTAGTGAACCAGAAGCAACTAGAAGGTCAAGTGTTATCACTTGCAGCATATGTGGTGTGTTTGGACACAACAAGAGGAGATGTGAAAAGGCTCCTACTGCAGCATAAATGAAAGCAACAAAAGCAAAAGCAGCAGCAGCAGCAGCAGGCCCATCATCATCAACAGCCCCAACAGTAAGGAGGAGGAAAAGTGTACCAAGAAGATCAAGAAGGATTGGAGCAGCAGCACAAGGTTCTCAGGTATTTAATTCAACTCTTAAAGTTTTGATTTATATTGTAAAACTTTTTGCATTTCAGTTTATGTTTATATTGTAAACCTTTTTTTTCATTTCAGGGTTCAAGAAGTATGGCAGCAGAAACAATAACAGCAACACCAATAACACAAGGCACTCAGGTATATAATTTATATATGTCTGATATTATTCATTTTTACAGGTATAGGTATAAATTGTGAAGCTTTGTTTTCATTTCAAAGTTCAAGAAATAAGGCAACAGAAACAGTAGCAGCACCAGCAACAGCACAAGGCACTCAGGTATATTATTCATATTTGTCTAAGATTATTCATTTTACAAAATAATTCATAAAGTTTTGTGCATTTCAGTTTATGTTTATATTTATGTCCTTGTTATTCAGGGTTCAACTTCAATATATATGGAAACAGCAAGAGCAACACAAGGCATTTAGACTCCATGTTGCACCACTCTACCTACAACAGGAATTAAGACATAGTTTATGGTAAACATGACTTTTTGCATAGTGCTAACATAATTTTTTGCACAGGCTAAATTTCACACACAGCACAGTTTTTTGGGTTATGCAAGTATATGATATGGGGGATACTTTTGGGCTATTCAAGTAATGATATGCAATGGGGAATACCTTTTTGGTTACTTTGAAGGTTTTGTAAAGAATTTGAAGGGATATTTAAACTTAACTATGTGGCTGTTGGTAATGGATTTAAAGGGATGTTTAAATTATTTTTTGGCTTTTAATGTTTGTGATATTTGATGGATTTTATTTTGATCTAAAAAATGGTTGTGACTTAGTTAAATGTTGTATGCATGCTTTGATATTGTAGTTGTGTTGCAATTGCATTACTATATACTGATTAAAATAGAACACTAATTATTTTATTTAGATAGAAAGGCAATGAACATTGTTAGGATAGCTACAATACAAATGCCCATGCTTGCATACACAATTGACCTTATCAAAGACATTAAACCATCTATAATGTCATTCCTGATTCCATCATCGACATTAGCAACATTCACATTAGCAATAGCATCAGGTGCAAGTACATCCTCAGGGCTCAACCATCTGAAGTATGCGCATATTCCATTATAACAATTGTAGAAGTGTCTTTCAGGATTTTTATTTGAATGAGATACCCTCAATGCTGCTCTTCTTCCACATGAACATATTTTAGTTCTGAACATTGGCAACACACACTTAATTGCCCCTGTTTACTTGAAAACATACATATTACAGGTTAAAAAATATTGGCATTGGCAATTACATATTCAAAAATATAATTTGTAATTACAGGTTAAAAACATTTTTCAAAATATCACCCTCAAATTTACATACATTTTTTTCACATTTATGAGGTTCAAATCAACAAACAATTACAAAGGAATTACTTGTAAAAAAAATTGTAATTACAGGTTACAAACAAAATTACAATTTCACAAAAATTTTCTTACCGAATGCACACCTTATTCCTTTCTTTGGAGCCTTTAAGCATGTATGAAGTGCAAGCAGTTCACGAAGCTATGGAAAAAGTGCAAGCAGTGTGTATTTATAATGCAATACTACCAACGGCTACTTTTGGAGCCATTTAATTGCAACGGCTACTTTTTGAGCTACTTTTGGAGCCAAGGCTACTTTTTCAGCCACAATTACTTTTGGAGCCAAGATATACAATGGCTGAAGTGGTTAGTTGATTTCAATGGCAAAGAAGGGTAAATATGTCATCTGAATGAGGGTAAATATGTCATTTCAATCATTAAAGAATTAATTAAATGGGTCAAACCAAAGTCAAAGGGTAAGAATGTCTTTTTACATGTAAAAAGCGGTCTGACATACCTGTCAACTAACTTTTGGGGTGTGAGTGAAAAACGGAGCAAACGTTTGTAATGTGGGTGATAGTTATTTTTGAAAGATGTTTTAGACTGATATTTGGCCAAACTACTGGGAGTGTCAGTGAAATTAGGGGTGCAACTTGTGCAGCCCAACCTGAGCCCAACCTCAACCCGGATTCGGGTTTGGTTTGGCTGGCTCGAGGTAACTCTAATTCGGGTTTCAATCGATGAAGCCCAACCCAAAAATAGATCAAGTTGCCTGGGTCAACCCAATTTGAACCCGGTTTATGAATTTAAAAGCCCAAGTTTCAAAAATTTTGGGCTGAGTTTGGGTTGAGCTGAGTTAGCCTGCCCAAGTTGCACCGCTACACAAAGTATATCACTTGTTTATTTCCATTTTGTCTACCCTCTACTCATTCCTGCTAGCCTGCTAGGATATCATCACCTCAATATATATATATATATATATATAATGTAGCCAAACTGAACATGATAGAGAACGCTAAGGGTAACTAAAAGAGACGTTGCGGTGCAACCATATTAATTCAAGGTATAATCATATTCAATGTTGACTCGATATGAATTAGAAGAGGAGGAGTACGTTATTTTCCTTGAAAATAATAAACCAAGAGAGAGACTAAAACTTTTTGCTGGCAATCGTCCAATTGTAAATGAATTCCTCCCCGGTAAGAAAGCATTTCTTGCTTCATATTCCTGTTGTAGCTTTATCTGAGTAGCATCTTCTTTTCTTTGGATTGTTGTTCTCTCTCTCTCTCTCTCTCTCTATATATATATATATATATATATATATATATATATATATATATATAAGAAACCTTAAATTTTTCAAATTACTTTAAGGTTCTCCATAAGGATACACTACTCCAACAATTAGGTAAGTAATTTATTTTTCCTGTGAGCATGTATTGTATTGTCCATTGTCCTAATTCTTTAAAACCATTCATTTGGTTAAATCAATTTTTTTATTTTTTTATTATTTTTTTTTTGACAGATTCTAATAGTTTTATCCATTAGCTCAAATCTTCTGTACTTCTTCTAGTGACACCAAGTGCTTCAAATTGAAATAAGGTGAGCAGTACAAATTTGTCCTTACTATTTCGTCCATGTGTTACAATTTCTTTACGTTAAGTGCAAAAAATCCCCCTGATATATAGGGTTTGTGCAGGATTAGTCTCTACTTTTTAAAAATGTGCATGTTAGTCCGTAAAATTCAAAAAAATGTGCAAATAATCCCCTGTGACCACCTTTTGACAAAAACTAAATATGAAAACCCTCTTTTACCCTTTTGATACCCATTTTAACCTTCACCATATGTGCATATTAACCCCCCTAGGCCTATACCCATTTCCTCATCCCCCTCTCTCTCTAAGGTTATGAGATATATATATATATATATATATATATATATATATATATAATGTCTTTTTGTGTGAATATATATAAAGTATATATAATAGTCAACTATTAAGATTTGGGCTAAAATCTAAAAACCCCCTTTGTTGTTTACAAAAACTATTTACTAACCCCCTCAAGTACGGAAACTATCATATTACTCCTTGATATTTTTAAAATTCTATCATATCATCCCTTCCCATTACTTTTCCATCACAAACTAACAGAACAAATCACGTGACAATCACTTGCTATTTTTTATTGACCAAAATACCCTTGTAATGATGTAATGACCAAACTACCCTTTCGACCCTCAGTCTCCCTCTCTTCTTCTCCACTATCGCATTGCGTTTATCTCATCGGAGAGGCTCCATGGATTCCGGTGACCATAGCGTCATTGATTCCAAGAGCAACTTGTCATGTGTTTATGTTGCTGTTGTTGAATTTAGTTCAATTTTTTATCATTGGAAGTCATGAGCTTCGAAATCTCTTGTTTGAAGCTCTCATCCTGGTAAACAGTAATTCTTACAACCATCGATACATTGATAACTTGGGCGCTCTCATAAAACTAATCAGTCCATCGCGAAGGATTCAATCCAACCTTGCTTGAAACTAGAAATCGAACCAATTCGATGTTGCCATGATTGTTGTGATGTGAAGAGGTGTTTGACCAATCGAATGGATTGAATTCACATCACTTTCTTTCAAACCCATCACAGAACTTTCATTAAATCCAATCGTTCTATTTCTACTGCTTCGTGATCCCTATTGTTCCGATCTGCTCCGACGTCGATCAAAGCTATTACTATATAATTTGAGTTTCTCGATCCTTGGTGAATATATATATATATATATATATATATATATATATATATAATTACTATAAACCCAGTTCAATCCCTAGCCTATTCCGTCCAAGAAACCCTAGGGCAATTATCCTCTGTCATGCCGTTGATGTTGCTATTTATTGTCAATTGGCTTCTTCATTTGCAGATAATGGAGGATATGTATTTTATATATATATGTGTGTGTGTATATGTGTATATATAATTCCTATATAATTACTTTAATTATATATAAATATATATAATTACTATAATTAGATATAATTACTATAATTAAATTATAATTACTATAATTGTATATATAATTACTATAATTATATTTAAATAAATATTAATATACTATCAAGGGCATTCTTGTCATTTCGTAGGAACTTAACGTTTTGTGACGGAATGGGGGCAATGTGACAGTTTAGGTTATATTAGGAGGTTTTTTAATATTTGAGGGGGTTAGTAGATAATTTCGATAAACAATAGGGAGTTTCAAATTTTAGCCCTTAAGATTAGGAAGACAGTTTATATAAAATATATATATATTTAATCATCAACTAACTATAAAGAGTTATGCTAGTTTACTGTTAAAAAAAAATAAAATAAAAAATCTTCAAAGATATAACTTTTTGGAAATAGGAAAAGTTTATATATAAAAAATAGGGTTAAATGCAAAAAAACCCCCTAAACTATTGGGGTTTTGCAAGAAACCCCCTGAACTACAAGAAACCCCCCTAGACTATTATTTTGTTGCAATTCACCCCATCAGGTCACTGG